CCAATAAGCAACAATTAACATTGAACTACTGTACTCCCGAGTGGCGCAGTGCTAACTGTGCCACTAGAGATCCTGGTTCGAATCCAGGCTCTGTCGCAGCCGGCCGCGACCGGGAGACTCATGGGCGGCGCACAATTGGCCCAGCGTCGTCCAGGGTAGGGGAGGGAATGGCCGGCAGGGATGTAGCTCAGTTGATAGAGCATGGCGTTTGCAACGCCAGGGTTGTGGGTTCGATTCCCACGGGGGGCCAGTATAAAAAAATATGTATTCACTAACTGTAAGTCGCTCTGGATAAGAGCGTCTGCTAAATGACTAAAATGTAACTATTTTTCACTCTTAGAGGTGTGTGTGTGTGTGTGTGTGTGTGTGTGTGTGTGTGTGTGTGTGTGTGTGTGTGTGTGTGTCTTACCGTCGTACTTGGCTAGTACGGCCTGTACGTCTGCGTAGTTCTGCAGCTCTAGTAGTGACTCCAGCAGGTTCTCATGGATATTGAACATACTGAGGAGAGGGAACTCCTTCATTAACTGGAAAACATACAACTGTTGTTACATGTAATACCAGACAGGCAGTGAAACACAACAGTCAGGGTTTAGTAACCCCGCCCAGTCCCACACAGCCTCAAACCTAGCCTGGTGCCAGACCTACTTGCGCTGTCTTGCCATCATCCCCTATGGTTATTGTCATTGCAAAATTGTCTTGACAATGGCCATAAGAGATGATGCGACAGCAGCAGATCTGGGACCAGGCTACCTCCAACCCCTCCCCAGGCCTCTATGTTCTATCTGAGGCTGCAGAATGTACTGTACATTTCCATTTGAGTCATTTAGCAGACGCTCTTAACCAGAGCGACATATGGGAGCAATTAAGGTTAAGTGCCTTGCTCAAGGGCACAGACAGATTTTTTACCTAGTCGGCTCGGGGATTCAAACCAGCGACCTTTCGGTTAATGGCCCAAAGCTCTTAACCACTAGGCTACCTGCCGCCACTGTTGTTTCGTTACATGTTTTTGTTACATTTATCATAGAAAATGTATAGTGACTGAAAACATTGGCATGTAAAAATGGGGCAAATCCTAACTTTTACTAAAGTCACTACTGTAGTCCCCCCCCCCCCCCCCCCCCCCGACATCAATGCTGGTCTAACACTTCAGTGGGAGCTACAGTAGGATTGGGGATTGGTCCGTAACCTCCTGATGGCTTGGCGTATACTGTACTTACGTCTCTCAACATTTTGACAGCTTCTCTGGTTCGGCCCAGCTTTCTAGAGCACATGGCCAGTCTCCTCTTAATGTACACCACAACATTGGTGTCCCTTCCTGAGAGAAACACAGCAGCAAAGTTATTTTAGCTGGTATAACACACATGGACACACACATGCGTACATACAAACTCAGACACATCCGCACACCTGTGCACACACACACACTAATAGATTGATTTGCATATATGTAAGTGTTTGAGAGTGTGTGTCTAACCAGGTGCATGCGTATTCTTTAGACTTTGTGTGTGTAGGTTCAACTGTGTGTATGTTTGACTGTGTGTGTGTTTGACTGTGTGTGTGTTTGACTGTGTGTGTGTTTGACTGTGTGTGTGTTTGACTGTGTGTGTGTTTGACTGTGTGTGTGTTTGACTGTGTGTGTGTTTGACTGTGTGTGTGTGTACTCTACTCACTGTGCTGTGCTTCGTACTGTGCCCCATGGTATTGAAGCTGTTGGCTGCGTCTGTAGCAGCCCTCTCCTGCCTTCAGGGCCTGTTTGAAGAGCTTCTCTGCCTCCATGATGGTGGTGGCCTCCTCCTCTGCCAGCAGGATGGACGCTGTTGCACAGCTGAGAGGACAAGACAAATTAGAAAAGAGTGAAGAGAATTTTGGGGAAGACGACACAGCAGAGGAAGACAACATAGCTGGAGGGAGGAACAGGGGAAGACCCCACACTAAGCACAAAGGAGAATAAGTTGTGATGCCGTTGACCCCTAAAAAAAGTATCCTGAAAGACGATGTGAATATTTATGTGCATCTCACACTTTTCAGCCAGGCTGTATATACAGTTGAAGTCGGAAATTACATACACCTTAGCCAAATACATTTAAACTCAGTTTTTCACAATTCCTGACATTTAACCCTAGTAAAAATTCCCTGTCTTAGGTCAGTTAGGATCACCACTTCATTTTAAGAATATAGTAGAGAGAATTATTTATTTCAGCTTTTATTTCTTTCATCACATTCCCAGTGGGTCAGAAGTTTACATACACTCAATTAGTATTTGGTAGCATTGCCTTTAAATTGTTTAACTTGGGTCAAACATTTCGGGTAGCCTTCCACAAGCTTCCCACAATAGGTTGGGTGAATTTTGGCCAATTCCTCCTGACAGAGCTAGTGTAACTGAGTCAGGTTTGTAGGCCTCCTTGCTCGCACACGCTTTTTCATTTCTGCCCACAAATTTTCTATAGGATTGAGGTCAGGGCTTTGTGATGGCCACTCCAATACCTTGACTTTGTTGTCCTTAAGCCATTTTGCCACAACTTTGGAAGTATGCTTGGGTTCATTGTCCATTTGGAAGACCCATTTGCGACCAAGCTTTAACTTCCTGACTGATGTCTTGAGATGTTGCTTCAATATATCCACATAATTTTCCTTCCTCATGATGCCATCTATTTTGTGAAGTGCACCACCCTCCTGCAGCAAAGCACCCCCACAGCATGATGCTGCCACCCCCGTGCTTCACGGTTGGGATGGTGTTCTTCGGCTTGTAACTTACCCCCTTTTTCCTCCAAACATAACGATGGTCATTATGGCCAAACAGTTATATTTTTGTTTCATCAAGACCAGAGGACATTTCTCCAAAAAGTACGATATTTGTCCCCATGTGCAGTTGCAAACCGTAGTCTGGCTTTTTTAATGGCGGTTTTGGAGCAGTAGCTTCTTCCTTGCTGAGCGGCCTTTCAGGTTATGTCGATATAGGACTCCTTTTACTGTAGATACTTTTGTACCTGTTTCCTCCAGCATCTTCACAATGTCCTTTGATGTTGTTCTGGGATTGATTTGCACTTTTCGCACCAAAGTACGTTCATCTCTAGGAGACAGAACGTGTCTCCTTTCTGAGTGGTATGAAGGCTGCGTGGTCCCATGGTGTTTATACTTGCGTACTATTGTTTGTACAGTTGAACGTAGTTCCTTCAGGCGTTTGGAAATTGCTCCCAAGGATGAACCAGACTTGTGGAGGTCTACAATTTCTTTTCTGAGTTCTTGGCTGATTTCTTTTGATTTTCCCATGATGTCAAGCGACGAGGCACTGAATTTGAAGGTAGGCCTTGAAATACATCCACAGGTACACCTCCAATTGACTCAAATGATGTCAATTAGCCTATCAGAAGCTTCTAAAGCCATGACATCATTTTCTGGAATTTTCCAAGCTGTTTAATGGCACAATCAACTTCTGACCCACTGGAATTGTGATACAGTGAAGTGAAATAATCTGTCTGTAAACAATTGTTGGAAAAATTACTTGTGTCATGCACAAAGTAGATGTCCTAATCGACTTGCCAAAACTATAGTTTGTTAACAAGAAATTTGTGGAGTGGTTGAAAAACGAGTTTTAATGACTCCAACCTAAGTGTATGTAAATCTCAGACTTCAACTGTACAACAGTATACAGGTGGGGTTGATACCACTTCAATTGAGGAATTGAAATTCTACTTGAAGAGTCCTCATAGAAGATTCCTCATAGAAAAATAATAGGATATTTACAAGTAATGCGTGAGTGAATTGAGGCCAACCATGTTACACAGCACGATACAGTATCTCTGTAGGTGAAATAAGTAACTACTCACTCCTCTAGTTCGAGGGCTTCGTGTGCAGCAGAGATGCGTGCCTGTGGGTTCCTCTCTCTCCACGCTTTCTGCATGACTAAAAACACACACATGCACACATTAGTAAGTGTTATTGAGGTCAGAGAGGTAATGATACTACCTGTGAACATGAATCACACCTCCCTGGAGATGGGGTGAGATCGATAGTGTGTGTGGTGTGTGTGTGTCTCTGGGTGATGTGTGTGATGTGTTTGATGTGTGTAGGTTCCTTACTGGCGTCGGCTGGCCGGAGGTGGTCCGAGTCGCATGTGAAGAAGGTCTGGTGGTCTTGTGCCGAGAGATTCATGTCGTAATACGTGAGTGGCTCTCGGCCCGTCACCCACGTATACCTGGTAGACACACAGTTAATGTCATTTTCATGGTTCTACAAAAAGTCTGGGGGGAGATAGAGAGAAAGAGAGAGAGAGGTAGAAAGAGCTAGAATGAAAGAGAGAGAGAGAAAGATAGAGAGAAAGAGAGAGAGAGGTAGAAAGAGCTAGAATGAAAGAGAGAGACAGAAAGAGGTAGAGAGAGCTAGAATGAAAGAGAGAGAGAGAGAAAGATATAGAGAAAGTGGAGAGAGAAAAGCAATAGAGAAAAGGGAGGTGGCAAAAATTGTTGAGGAGGAACTAGGCAGCAGTGATCTAATAAGATGGGCTCCTGGTGAGGCAAGGATTCTCTCAGCCTGTTGACACCATATTAGACCCAGCCATTACTACAAACTATCCAGGGAGCGAGTGAGTGAGTGAGTGACTGTGTGAGTGAGAGAGAGAGAAGGAAGGAGGGAAGAACATGAACGAGGAGATGTGGAGAGAGAAAAAGGGGTGAGTGAGGGGGTGAGAGGGGGGTGAGAAAAGGAGTAGGAAAGTGAGGAGGAGAGAAGGGGCGAGGGATCATGTGACTCACCGGTTATACTCCGCCCCTCGAAATAAATTCAGTGGATTTCGCCATACTTTACATTCTGAGGGACCAAGAGGAGGAAGACATTGTTAGGGATGGTTTGTAGGCGTATCCGACAAAGTAGACTCCTAAGTGTACTAGGGATGAAGTGTACGTCATGAAATTCCTACACTAAATGACACTACAGTAAGGCAACTTAATTGCTTCTGTAAACTTCAGGTCAGTACTACCAGACTGCATCCCAAATCCACAAGTCATCATCACTAGCCAGTCTCCAATCACACTCCTTTCCCAGACACAGGGATTACAACAGCAAATGATTCTAAAGCAATTTCACCAATCATGCCTTGTTGATTCAACACAGCTCAGATAATTCCATTTCATCCAACGAAAACAAAAACACACACACATTGGATTTCTCACTGGTGTGGGAGCGAACTATAAGGCACTCTATGCTACTAAATGCTCTATTTGGCTGTAGTAGGCCTAAATGCTCTAATCAAGTGTGTAGGCAAAACAAAGAAGAGTTCTATGGTAAATTCTCTATCTGGTATCTCTGTTAATGAGCTGGGTTGTGTCTCTATTCTTCTACAAACAAGGCAACAATAAACATGTCGTCCCACACGAATGATGCCGGATCTCTATGGCAAGATGCATCATTCACCCAAGTTTCCTCAAAATCGGCACAGTGTTGTCTGAGATATCGCGTGGGACTAACGTACGAACGAACCGCGACAGATCCACAGCCCTCTCCCCGATTTCATCTTGGGGGACAACAATATGCTCCATCTGGCTGTAGTAAATGCTCTAGCACAGGGGCGAACAATAAGGTACTCTCGTTAACGGCCAGTTCACTGTAGAGCTGGGTCACTGACAATAAATGCTCTGGTGAACGCTCACTGAATGATTTATCTAGTTTTTAAATGCTCCATCTAGCTAACACTCTATATCTAGTACATGCTCTATATATCTAGTGAATACTCTACCCATATAGTAAATCTCTGAGTCTTACCGGACACACTCTGTCGGTTGGAGTCTGCGTCTCCGTTACTGCTGTTGGAGTTGGTTGGGGAGCTGTTGTCCACGCCGCCCAGCAGAGGGCGCAGGTGGCTCACTGACACCTGCTCGATGAAGGAAGTACCGTACTTCCTGAAGTACCACCACTCAAAAATCTGACAGGAGACCGACACGAGGCAGTTCATTCAGGGAGGATTCAGTAAGGTCAGGACCATAGAGAAAACATATGTTACTGTATAATTGGTATGTGTGATCTATTTCAATCTGTCTTTAGGGCTGTGTCGATTTAGTTGAATGCCCTTTGGGCTACATCACTCATACCACTGTTAGGTTTGATAGGACTGTCTTTGACTTAGAGGGTCTTTGATTTTTAGTATCATGCCACTAAGTGCAATTTAACACAGGCTAGCACAGGATTTCTCATTTCTGAAGAGCCCTAATGCTCTTTAAATATTAAATTAAATCCATCCACAACTCTGCACAGAGATGTGTGCACACATAGTACACATTCTTACATTTTTCTCTTTTAGCATTGCCTAATCAAGACAGGGTCCAATATGCAACTCTATTTCAACATTGACACACACACACACACCCTCTTTGACTGTTTGTGTCTGGAAAGTCATCCACAGCTGGTATTGCCTTGTCTACATGACTTCTAGTCCTGGTAAAGCCCTATTACCTAACCGTCTTAATCTCAACTGACTGTAATGAATATAACAGGAATCCATCTGTATTTTAATACCTCACAGGCCACGCACATATAATCTCATATCCACTGTAATTATTCATAGGACACAATGAAGGCTTAAGAGGCCTGTGAGACTCATCGTCGTTACCAGGCAACTAAACAAACTGGCCAACCCACGGAGAGGAATGAGGTTCGCTAGCTAAAGCTATTGTAGCTATCTTTTTTTTCTATTTGTATTTTCTTTGGAAGAATGACCACTGTAGCACAGTTCACTCTCACTGTACAACAGACAAACGAGGGCTCAACTTGGTGGTCCTGTGTGGCTCAGTTGGTAAGAGCATGTCTATAGCAACACCAGTGTTGGGGGACACATTCCCACTGGCATCACATAATATTTAAGTGTAGTGTAGGCTATGCGCTCCCTGTACTGTAAGTCGCTTGCTTTGGATAAAATCTTCTGCTAAATGGCATATTATCAAATACTAAAATGTATGCACTCACTGTACTGTAAGCTGAGAGGAAGAGGTGACGCGAGGGGTTTACTCTACCCAAAATCTGTCCAATCTTTGTATGGAGGTCAATCAGTTGAATTTGGCCAACAGAAATGTAATGCTAATATGCTATGTGTGGTTTATTTGATCGAATAGAAGTTTTGTAATTTTTAGGTTGTTATGAATGCACTTATATAAAAGTGGACGCACGTGGCATTTTGGCAATGTCGACGACTTTATATCGGAGTTGTGCCTGTTGTTGACACGTGTATCTGCCCTCTCATTGGCTAGAATAGTCCCACCTGATCTCGCCTCCTCCCACCTGCCTTACATCTTTGAGGACATGCATTTCCCTTGTTAGAGCGGTCACTCGACTATCTTGTCAATATAAATAGAACATTTGCTGTAAGTCGCTTTGGATAAATGTGCTAAATGGCATAATATGAATATAATATTATCAACTTACCAGGATGAGTCCTGATATCAAGGAGGATGTCCCCGTCAGAGCCACGTAGAATTTGGGGGTTAGGGTGTTCAGAAACATGCTTACTGTAGAGGTGACACAGAAACACAACGTCGTTAATATTACACACCACCATGGCATTAGAAACAATACAGCTACAATGATTACCCCAGTAATTAGCCCATATTCCAGGATTCCAGGAATTCAAAGGCTTTTACACACAATTTAAATGCAACACATGTTTCTCCAAGAACAAAGAAAGTCCTGCAACACGGAACAGGGGACATCAGAACAGTGGTTTGAGTTAGTTAAAGTTAGGAAAATGTATTTAAGTGTCACTCCACAATGATACAATAATACAAAGTACTGATTTTTTACAAACCACATTGTGGACCACTCAAATTGAGTTTTGAGACACTAAAAACAAATCAGTCAAACATGGTACAGGCGTCATTTATAATGCATTACATCATCTATACCAGTGGTTCCCTTAGGCCTACTGGTTAAATGCACACAAGGGGGTACTTCAGGGGTACTCCGCACAGAGCAAAATTCAGTTGGTGGTACCAAAAAAGGTTGGGAACTACTGATCTATACACATGTATGCATAAACAATGTGTAGATAATAGGCTGAATCTACTGCACACCCAAAGCTGATTTATGAAGGTACTGGAAGCAAAAATGCAGAAACAGGAAAAAGTGTCCGCACACTTCCAGTCAGATGCAAATGTATTTTAATATAGCGGAGCTTTCGGTCAGTCGACTTTCATCAGAGCTGACTGAAAGCGCCGCTATATTAAAATACATTTGCATCTGACTGGAAGTGGAAGTGACACTTTTTCCTGTTTCTGCATAAAAATAAATAAAACAAAGTACAGTGGATAAAAGGATTATTAGCACTTATAAAGATACATCTGTTTGTTGCGCCGTCACAGCGCTTACTCCTACAGATACAGTGAAATATATTGACACCCTTGCACTTTACAATGGAGTGCAATGGAGCAGAATGTTCTGTTAATTATTTTCAAAACTGGTTGAATGGCTATTTTTACCCTGTAGGCACCTGCAATGTAGTACACTTGCTGAGAATCACTTGCCTCCAACTAAATTAATGTACATTTTAAATAATTTAGTCCAGGACATTTTTTACTTTGAAGTGAAAAATAGAAATTTCTAATGTTTTTTTTTTTTTTGGAGGGGGGGGTCCTGTGCAGTTGTAAATCAAACAAATATGCCTACACGTGTGAACACCAACTTTTTTTTTTACTAGAAACAAACTCAGTTTACCCTTTTATCTGTGGATTAATTGTCGGAGTAGAGGACCTTGTGCATTTCAGGTAAAATAACAACCCAATGTTTATATTCCAGGGCAAATTAGCTAGCAACAGCAAGCTAGCTAGCTAAATTGCCATAAATGTTTAATGCTTTTCGACCTGTCCCCAAATTAATATAGTTGGTTCAGAGTTCGTTTTGATATTTCAACCTGCGTGTCCTGATCGCGTCTGGTGTGGGTGGACAAAATCAACATCCGTGCGATGGCGGACACCCGGTCTAGTCAGCATGTTATTTTAGAAGGAAGCGTGAATAGTGCAAGGGTGCCAATATATTTGACCGCATTTGTAGCTATCATACACATGATTAACATAGGATACACTTACCCTAACTAATATTGGTAACCATCTAGATGTCACCTTTATATATGCACATACAGTTTACTCAATAGGGAGGTCATGAACGGCAACAACACCAGGACACCATGCCCTTTGCTCCTGCTTGACAAGCACTACTGTCTGGCAAAGGCGTGGGAAGTAGCTGCCTAGTATCAGGGTGACCGTCACAGTAAGCACACGCATACAACGCATGAAGCATGAGTACACCCATCATCAGTACTTTTAAATAAAAATAAACAATCGTCTGTTTTATAACTGAAAATGTACAATTATTTGGGTAAAACTAACAGTAAAATACGACTCAGACTCTGGCTTAAAAACAGAAGTCAAAACTCTCGCGGAGGGTGAGAACTCCAACACCTGGCGCCGACAAAGATGGTGGCCTCGCGACTAGCTCTTAGGGAACTTTGCACAAGCATTTCGCTACACCCGCTATAACATCTGCTAAACACGTGTATGTGACAAATACGATTTGATTTGATTTGATTTAGTTGCATGGTAAGAAACGGGGGGGAAAAACACAGCTCAATCAAAACCATCTAACCTATAGCAGAGCACTTGACACACCCACTTCTTTCCACTTGCCCACTACTTTCCTTTTGACACCCACTTGCCTATACTCCGGTCACCATATTGATCTGCAGCTATCCCCTTCTCGGCTAAAGCCCTATGCAGAACTCTGACGCAAATCCCCACAACACTACAACCAGATCATCTCATAACGAGATGGGCAGGGCTGCTGTTATCTGTGGGTTTTGACCACTGTGGGATTGTGGGTATTGTAGTATACAAGAATGTGGTGTTGAAAAAGGTAGACAAACACTGCTCAACTGCATCCCTGGTAGTATGGTGTAGCTGTAACCCTTCTCCTGGGCAGAAAAACCTGTGAACATTCAATTATGTTAACACCACCTAAACGTTCAATTTCCCTTCCGTTGGTTTCAATTAGGCCTAGTTTCGGAGGGGTGGGGGGGGGGGGGGGGGGGGGGGGGGAACAGAGCTAGGGCCGGCAGGCTCATTAGGCTAATTTTAGGATAAATACTTATATAGTTATAGTGGGGATAACAGGATGCTATTGGATGCTGCTCCAGAAGGAAGCCGCCAGTTATAGAGCAAGAGGCTGGGACAATGATCCCACTCAGACAGCCCTCCTGCCCTCCTCTCAACCAGACATACACGCCCATCCTCTACCACAGTAGCAGCTGGGCCCCTTACGCCTATTCACCCCTCTGGAGTGGGTCTCCTCTCCTACTGAGAGGGGGGCATTATGGAGGAACCACAGCCTCACAGACCTGACATAGACCACACTATGGGAGAGGAAGAGACCTGTAGTGTGGCGTATAGGCCTGTGTAAAATGTGGTGTTTATTCTGCTTTGCTAGAATGTCAATGATGACATGAGTTTATAATTAAGGCCTTGCAGGTAGGTTGCCGATAATGTTGCAGAACCGGATGCAGAGTCAAGTCTGTCTGGCACCTTTAACATCATAATAGCACAGATGAAATTAAATAAAAGGTGTGATAAATAAGCCTAGGCCTAAACCTGGATGCTCTGTTGAGTTGCATTATGACACTGCAATATCAATACTATAAGGGCTTCACTCATACTATGTTTACTGTTGTTAGAGATTGAGTCCATTGTAACATCAGTGTAAATATGAGGTAGCATAAATTGGTAATTCATTAAGGCCTAGCTGGCCCACCATCGGTGGCACCATGTCTACAGAAAATGTAAACTGGCTTAATAATCAAGACAGCTATTCTAGCAAGGAAAAAACGAAATGTCATTGCAGACCAATAGATACAGTATGTGCCCTTTAGTAGGGATGGGACACCCGGGTGACTGCTGTTCTGATCAGAATGATAATAGAAACTGTTCTGATCAGAATGATAATGCTAATTTAACACACCCAGGGACACACACACCCAGGGACACACACACCCAGGGACACACACACCCAGGGACACACACACCCAGGGACACACACACCCAGGGACACACACACCCAGGGACACACACATATAGTCGGTCAGACACTACTAGAGCTTCTGTGTGGAGTCAATTCTCTATATTCTCTGCTTAGAATGTCCCACTCTGTGTCACTGTGGTTTGGCTAGTAATGCGCAAATGTTTGCAGTTGCTGAGTTGATTAGCATCCATATCCGTCTTGGATGGCTTTTAGGAATGCTCCGCGGCCGCCGCAGCACGGCCCGTTTTGTGTTTTAACTACCTATGTGACCTTTTGGGAGCACAGGAAGTGGGCTGGGTATCGTCTCACCTGTTATGGCAGCCAGGCGAGGGCGAGACACACGCATGGGTGGTGGGGGTTATGGCTTTCATTAGGCCACCCAGGGATTTAAATGAAATGGTCTGGATAAAATGACTATCCAAGAGCTGGTGGTTGTATTCATTAGGCACCAAACGGAAGAATACAGATTGAAACAGGATGGGACTACCTGGCCAATAAGAAACACTCGTTTTTGTAGTCTGTTGCAAAACGTTTTTGCTAGAGTGTTCCCTAATGAACATAACCCTGTATTGAGATCCGTCACTCCCCCACCCACCCACACATTAATATGAATGTACTGACTGTGGCTCAACCTTATACCAGATAGGGAGCTGTTTGCTTCCTCGTCATGTACCTACTGACTCACATTCAGGTTCATTGATAAGGCAGTGGAATAGCCTGGTGTTTCCCAGCAACAACAGAATCCGGTCCTTATTCCTTACAGGCCTTGGTCCAAAACGTTATATAGGGAATAGAGTGCCATTTGGTCTAACTGTCAGGGACACTGATACTCTAATCTAGCTCTATGGTCCTTATGTATACACAGCTATCAGCTAGCTTCAATGTATGAACACACACGGGCACAAAGACAAAACACACACACACGCACAAGTGCAAATAAACACACAGTACAGGTTAATGTTTATATGAACAGCCCCTCGGCTCACCCGCAGACCGAGCAAACTGTTGAATTCATGAATAGAAAGTACAGTACACTATCAAAAGGTCATTAACCTAGCCTGGAGCCTAGCCCAAAAGAGAATCCAACAGAATAGAGCTCCCCATCTCACCCCACTCAATTGTGTAAAGAGAAGCTGATGCACATTACGTAGGCTACAACACAGGCTATAGTGTAGGCTATAACTCACCTTCCATTTCTCTGTGACATCCGCCGTGATCATAGCCAGAGAAACCCACCACAGGAAAATCAAACCACACACAAAGAGCACACAGTGAGAGTCAAGGCAATAAAACCCAGTCTAAGAGCACACACACAGCACACAATGTGCTTGGGGGGCCCCTCACTGCCCTCAGTCCAGTTTCTGTGCACGTGATAGGCAGCTGTATTTGAGTGACAGCTGGCCAGGCCAATCATAATGCAGGACTAGTCTGCCCTCTCTCTAGTGACACTGTAG